TTAATTTGTTTAACTTGATCCTCCATTCCTTCCATGTTTCTGCAAACTCATTCTTTGAGGTTGAATAAAATAGTTTCCTTATCCACTGATTTCTTCTTGCTTCTTAACTATTTTTTCCAAACCCCTTTTGGATACCTAATACCTTGTTTTGTTTTCATGCTTGAAGCTTTATTTCTAAAACGATGTCTGGCCTGGATATCTGTGTCCTTTCAAAATTCATAGAGTGAAATCCTAACCCTAAGTAGATAAACTAGGTGAAAGGCTTTGAGAACTTAGAGCCTAAGGGCAAACTCCTCATGAATGGCACCAGTGTCTTTCTAAAGTTCTTCCCTACAGAGCTAGAACCACACCACCACCATGTAGGTATCTAGGCATTGCCATCTATGACCCTGAAAACAGCTCTCATCAGACACTGAACCTGTTGGCACAGGTCCTGAACATCCCAGCCTGGAGAACTTTAAGACATTTTTGTTATCTTCACGGGTCTTTGTTATAGCATGCTATAATTGCTTGAATGAATGCTCCATGGGGTCAGATATATGAACACTTAGCCCCTGGTTCGTGGCTCTGCTTGGGGAGTGTGATAGCTGATCTTGGTTGCCAACTTGACTGTATCTGAAATCAGCTAAAACTCAGGCAGCTGGCTCATCTGTGAGGGATTTATTTTTGAAGTTTCACCCTAACTCTGGAAGACTTTCTGGTAACACACACACACACACTACAAAACGTAGAAGAAGGGAGCTTCTTCTGCTTTTTGCCTACTTGCCCTTACTCTCGCTGGCAAGTTCATCTATTCTACTGCTGCAGCATTCCTTTGATAGTATTAGAACCTGATTCTTCAAGATTCCAACATAGACTAAAAACCAGCAGCTCCTCGGGGCTCCTTCCAGACTCCAGCACCAGATCAGGACTGCAGAAATATCTACTCTGGAGAATTAACCGACTACTCGAGTTTTGGCCTTTCCATCATGAGACAGCCATTATAGAACTACCCACGGGATTTATCCATTCATTCACTCAGTTCTGTTCCTTTAGAGAACCTTGACTAATACAGGGAGATTTAGGATGTGCGGCCTTGTCGTGGTGAACTTTGAGGGAGAAAAGCCTTGTGTCACTTCCAGTGTGTGTTCTGCTTTGTGAGCGTGAGTGGGGTGTGGTGAAAATTTAGAGCCCGCCACAGCGGTGGTGGGTTTCCACCACTGTGGCGGGTCCCACATTCAGGAGGAATCCTATGGTTCCAGCGGCCTGGAGGCCTTGGCAGCGGCAGGCCCCCATAACACGAGGAAGTCCTTGGTTCCAAAAAGGTTTATTGTCATGGCGGATGATAGATGGATCTAGGCGTACCCCCCCCAAACTCAGGGCAGTCCTGAGCTATATAGGGAGGGAGAAAGGGGGAGGGTTGGGGGAGGATCTGGGGGAGGCATGTTTAATTTGCTCTGCTCTCTGGCCTTCATTAGTATGTAAATCCCTAGGGCCTGAGGCCTATAGCCTGGCCTATGTGACTCTATGGAGACCGTGACTGCTTTTCAGGATCCTGGGTTCTGGGGGGCGCCAAACTCCTGCCGGTTCTCACGCAGAATCCCACCCAGAGTCTCGGGGTTCTAGGCACCTGCTCCACCATGACCCAGGATACCCTTACGCAGTCTCACAGGTGGGGTACAAGCTCTCTGTGTCCAGCTCCTGCCTCCACACTTGCTGCCTGACTCTATGCTTTCTCAGCATCAAGAACTCTTATCTGTCTATAACATAAGGCCAAAGAAGGCGTGACCTCTATAAATTGCCATGCTATTGGTTTTTGTCACAGCAACAGAAAAAATAAATAAAAGCAACTAATACACTTAGCAAATGCACCGAGACAAATGCCACTATAATTTTCTTCCAGCATTTTCTGTGACATGCTCATATGTAGGAAGCAAGGAGGTCCTTGTGCCATCAGATAAATACTAGGGGACCTTTAATGTTAGACACACATTAGGATTGTTCCTTCAAAGGAAGAGACTTATAACCTGTTATCCACCATGGTTAATAGCCTGGCGACCTTTGCGATGTGTGGCTGGGACCACATCAGATCTTTCCCCCAGATCCTTATCCAATGAGCTTGTTTTTCTCAATCAAGCTATAGAATGCATCATGGTATCACATGTACCCTACAAAGACTTTCGTTGTGGTCATATCCAATCTTTATTTAGCTTACTTTGTATTTTATTATGCATGCAGGATTGAGTTCATTATCACCAGGAAAATTTTTGCCAAAACTTTAAATTTAAATTTGCCTTTTATTTAAATTTGCCTAAAATAAACTACTCAGAGTCAGACTCTGAGTAAAGTTTGAACCAACACCAACTACTTAGTAGTGTTCAACCAAACTGCCTTCCTCCTAAGGATCATTATTCAGCTGGCTGTGGTGGTTACAAAGGCTCATATATACCCTAATATTACTGTAGAGACTGTAAACTATTTTCATTCCATAATTTATTGATCCAGTGATAAAGACACTTTGCGGATAGGTTTGGTTGTATGCTTTTCTTCCCTTGATTGAAGCAATGGGAAAGGAACCTGAACTGTGTCTTGGAATGTTCATTCATGAGAGCCCATGAGGCTTAATACCCAGGGGTGCATATAATGTTCAGCTTTAATATAAAAAACTAGGACCTTTTTTAACTGACAATATCAATTTCATTTCTACCAACAATGTTAGAGATCTTATTGATTTATGTTTTCATGGGCGGTTAATACTTTCACAGTTTATGTTTCTAGATAATAGGCTATAAAATATTTTGTTAAGGTATTTTACTAAGGGGCTGGAAAGGTGGCTCAGCTATTAAGAGTACCTCCTGCTCTTAGAAGGGACCCAGATCTGATTCCCAGCACCCACACTTGGCATCTCACAATTGCCAATATACCAGTTCCAGGGAATCTGATGATCTCCTCTGGCCTTTGTAGGTATCTGCACTCAAGCAGCATACACAGTATACACTACACATAAACAAAAATAATAAGTAAAAGGATACCACAAGAACAGTGGGGTGGAACGTAGATGGTAATGCTCTTGTTCACTCATGAAAACCCAACGCAAGACATGGATGGCCTTGTTCATCACTGGAAAGGGAAAGAATGTCCTTATATGATAATGTGAGAAATTACCATTCATATTGAGAAAACTGAAACTGGACTACCCAATTCCCACATACATAAAAACAATTCCAGCTAAGCTCAGTGGTGGTTTGCCAGCTGCCAAGTTTTGTCCATTTTCCCTGACTAGTTTTTCTCCTAATGTTCACACCCACTAATTATTTCATCAAGTTTCCAGATGTTATGAACTGACTCCCAGGTGAAGAAGGGCCCCTTCTTGTTCTGGGTAATGGATTCTTGGATGGTTTGAGATCATCCAAGACCCTCCCAGCAGAGACGACTGTATGAGGACGAGGCTGGCTGCCAGCCAGAACAGAGGCCCCAGGATAAACCAAACCAGACAACACTTTGATCTTAAATTTCCAAAACAGAGACAAAATAGAGTTCTGTTGTTTACACCCCCAACCTAGTCTGTTGTGGCAACCCAAGTAAATGTGTACACCCTCCTCCCTCCTGATTTCCCAGCAAGACTGAGTGTGGAGCGGGGGAAGGGCGCCACTGGCCTTGGGGACCCAGATCTGACTATATCCTGGCTCAACTGGTCTCTCCACCTGCCCAATCTCCTCCCCACTGTGGGTAACATTTCTCCTTCTGAACACACCCAGGACTGGATTTCCCACAGAAACACCTTCAGCTCCCCTGCTCCACCTACCCTGCAGCAGCTGAACAAACTTCCTTGGCTTCATACCCAATGTGCTTTCAGTTATGACCCAGTTCAGGCTTTCTCAAACATTTATGCTCACTGCAAGGTCATTTCCTGGACTTCACTCCCAAAGAGCTTTCTTCACTAGGCCCCGGGGTGGAGATCCCACAGTTCACCTTTCTGGCAAACTTGTAGGTGGGGAGATCAGGTGAGGCAGTCCTGCCACATCCCTCAGCCAGGCCCCTCATGTACCAACACCCTGTGTAGTTGACAGTCCTGGTCCTGCCAGGAATTCCCTGCTGCCAAGTCTGACCCCATGGGTAGATCAGGAAACCTCCCAACTTAGATTAAAGTTGAGAAGTTATGCCATTTTGAAAGGGGAACTTTGTACTGAAGTCTGAGCTAGGCCTAGAGGCCTCTCGTAAAACACAGCAATATGGGCCCAGGCTCAAACACAAGGTCCTGCTGTAGTCACCTGTGCTTTTGACACACAGGTGAACAAAAGAAGGCTCAGGGAGAAGTGATTTATGGAAGGACACAGCACATAAGAGCAAAGGCTGCGGTCCCCCGTGCTGCTTTGTCTGAGCACAAGGGAACCCTCTTCTCCCTGACCTTTACTCACTCCACTTTCTTGTGACTCCAGCTGGTCCCTGGCATTTGCAGCTAATGATGAAGTTGTCTCAAGAGACTGTACAGCTTGGGGGGGTGGGGGAAGGGGAAATGAGGGGAAAGAGACCAGGGAACCGAGGCAGGAGGAGCCAGGAACCTGGGGGCGGGGCCTCTCCAGGAACCTGCACGCGGGTACCGTGTACCACCCGCAGCAGCAGCACCTTCCCTTCCTACTATCGGCTGAAGGCCCAGGTGAGCCCCAAGAAACAAAAGCCCTCGCTGAAACGAGCGGGCCCCAGTCTTCTTCCCTTTGAAATGGCCAAGTGCTTCAGACACAGATGGGTTGGTTAGCAGGTCCGTGAGTGAGTGCCAGCTGCCCGCCCCTGGACGCGGGAGTTTCTGCTAGCAGGCCAGTCCAGCATACTGCTGCGTACAGCCAGAGCGGGGATTGATGTGGGTCCTAGAGGCGGGCTAGTGCCCTTCCCAGGTCGGCTTCCGGAAGCATTAGGACTCCATAGGGAACAAGTGAGACTAACAGCTTGGACAGCTGTTGCAGACGCTGAAGACCCTAACTGGGAAAGGTGAGTCAATTCAGCAGGGAATCGCGCTGCTGGAATCAGGATCAGCGGCCCAGTTGGAGTTGCCCCTCCCCCATGTCAATTGACGAACACCTGGACCCAATTCCTGACAGCTTCATCCTGCAGCCACCGGTCTTCCACCCAGTAAGTAAGCTTACCAAAAAAAATGACTAATCAGCAAAATTCCAACTTGCAAGTCGGGCTTCCAGGGTTCTTGCCTATTCGATTCGCCTCTTCTGGGATAGATGGCTAGAAGAACGGAGGTGGATTGCTGTGAGGGACGCTAATGACTAAAGGCCCTTCTCCAAGCCTGAGGGAAGGGTGAGAAACCCTCCCAGTCAGGGATAGTGTGGATTCCTCTCTCCCTCCCCCTGTCCAAAGCCCAGGAGACTTTCTGAAGCCCCGCCCTGCTCTACAGAAGGCCAAACTCCCAGCAGGCACTACCACTAATGAGCACTAATTACTATTTTCCCCTGCTTGATCCTCTCCTCCTTAGAGGCCTCCATCAGCTCAGTTAATTAACACATTCTGCCAAGAGCCTGGGAACTGGAAGCCATAGGGCTGCCTGCCAAGCTGCCATGGCATGTAGAGATCCTGGCCTCTGGCACCTCCCGGGTGCCTGAGTAATGGGGCTGAAGCACCTGAAACCTGGGTCCCCACAGCCTGTTGCTTCACGAGCTAAGAACCACCACCTGGAGAGTTCCTTGGAGTGGTCTGGGCTCTCTGATTGCCACTGGGAGTTGACAAGCAACATGTAAAGGCTGACCCTGTGACAGTGCCCCAGTTTCACCTGCCAGCTTGTGGCATGCCCTCTGTGGAGCTCCTACTGTGCTCAGATAGGTGCCGAGCCTGCTGATGGGAAAGATAAGTTATCTTACAACAGTAGTCTTAACAGAAAACCAGCCAGCCAGCTCCTCTACACGCGGGGCCAAGGGCCAAGCCAGCACTGTGAGCTAAGGCTCTGAGAACTCAGAAGAGGGAAAGCAAAGGTGTCAGGATGGAGGAACTGGGAAAAGTGGAAGGGAGCAGAGGCAGCAAAAGTAGAGTTGAAAGTGTGAGCAAACTTTAGGAAGGCCAGACTCTTTCCTCTGTGTGAGGAAAGATGGGCCCTAGGAGACGGTCCTGCGTCCTTAGTCACCGTTAGGTATCTCTGAAGAGAGTCCACATCAGGGTCAGCTGGCTCCCAACTTCTCCATTCTTTTTCCTCTTAGCTCCTAAAGTCCTAAACCAGTCCTCAGCAGCATCCTTCCCAGGTGGCATCCTGTGGGGCAACAAACCTCAGTGGGGGACACAGCAACCTGTTGTGCCTCAGCTCGTTGGTGCTCTGACAGGGCAGTGGAACTGGATTAGGATTCCTGGGCCATATAGCTTTGGCATGTCTGCCCAATAAAGGAGAGCTTTAGAAAGAATTGTGCTAGCTCACTGGAGTAACAACTTGATGGGATGTAGGATTGCCATGGAAACAAGTCTCTGGGCAAGTCTGTGAGATATTGTCTAGACCCCATTAATCAAGGTAATGAGAGTCACCCTGAGTGTGGGGTGGCCCCACTCCATGGGCTGAATCCTGGTCTGAATAAAAGGCGTGCATCTGGCTAAGCATTAGCTCTCATTGCAGCCTGCTTCCTGGCTGGATACGATGTGACCAGCTGCCTCAAGCGCCAGCTGCCATGCCTTCTGCCATGGTGGACTGGACCCTGGAACCATGAGGCAGAACAAACCCTCCCTTCCTTCCTTCCTTCAGTATCTTGTTACACCAATAAGACAAGTAACTCATCCAGGAATACTGGAGAGAAAACTGGTCCTTCCCTACAAGGACATTTTCTCTTGAGGGTGTATTAGTTACTTTTTCTTATTGCTGCAGAAAAAAATATATTACTTAGCAAAAGCAACTTAAGAAACATTTATTTTGGCTCACAGCTATAAAAAATCCGTCGTCCACCATGGCAGGGAAGATGGTAGGAGGTGACTACTGTCACAACTCCACAGTCACGAATCAAAGACCTGCCAGAGGTGATGGCACACACTCTTAATCACGGCCCAGAAGCAGACAGAGGCAGTCAGGTCTCTGAGTTCGGGGCCAGCCTGGTCTACAGAGTGAGTTACAGGATAGCCTTGGCTACAAAGAGACATCCTGTCTCTTTGGTGGGGTGAGGAGGGGACATGAATGTTTACACATCGTCTTTTTATTCAGTCTGGGATCCAGCCTATAAAAAGGTACTGCCTGCCCACGTTTAGGATGGGTGTTCAGCTTCAACTAACTTCTAAAAATCCTTCACAGATGTTCTCCAAAACATGTTCCCATGATATTTGTAATTTTCACCAAGCCAACCATCAAGATCAACTTGTGGGGACGCTGTTTTGCTGGTCTTTCATCTCTACCCACACCCACTCCTACCCATAAGTCCCGGTCCCACGTCCAGTTGGCATACCCGACTCCTCTTCCTTGCTCAGGTGATTCCTTATGGCACAACAATTTTCGGTGGCCTGTATGCAGGCAAGATGGTCATGCTGCAGGGTGTGGTCCCTCTACGTGCACAGAGGTAAGGCGGGACTGTCTAGGACTCTCAGTAGAGCCCAAATTTAGGGACATCAATCTGGAGTTCCTCTCTACCTTTAGGATTTCCGTGGGCACTCAAAACCTCACACCACCCCTACCAGGTTTCAGGTGGACTTCCAGTGTGGGTGCTGCCTGCATCCCCGGCCAGATATTGCCTTCCACTTCAACCCTCGCTTCTACACTGTCAAGCCCCATGTCATCTGCAACACCCTCCAAAGTGGACTCTGGCAAAAAGAGGTCCGGTGGCCAGGCATCGCCCTGCAGAGAGGGGCTAGCTTCCTCATCCTCTTTCTCTTCGATAATGAAGAGGTGAAGGTGAGTGGAAAGGTTGTGTGTCAGGCAGTCTGGAGCTGGCACCCTACTCCACTCCTCCTTGTCCAATTTTCCATGGCACTGTGATAAACGGCCCTGTGGAGAGGGGGACAGGACTGCTCTGGGCCTGTGTAGCAATAAGAAAATGCAAAAGTCCCTCGATCTAGTAGGGAGAGGGATCCAGTGTGTGGTCAGAACAAGCACTTAGAAGTTCCATGCTTGGTAGCAGGCGCTATGCTAAACCCTATTTGTGAAATGCCCATTAAATCTTCTTCCCCACAAGGCCTGAGGTAGATATTGTCACAATTCCCTTACAGCCAGGGCAGCAGGAGACAGGGAGTGAGAACTTAATGCTCAGGTCTTGCCCCCTGATATGATCCTAACAGAAAGATAATGAGACCTTCAGATGGCTCTGCAGGACAAGGCAGCTGGTGGAAGGAAGCCCCCTAATGGACAAAAATTATCCCCCAACTTCCTGAGCCTTGATTTCCTTGCTATGGATAGGAGGAGGGGAAGGATGCTGGTGATGATGATGATGATGATGGTGATGATGATGATAGGAATGATAATGATGATAATGATAGTGATGATGGTATTGGTGGTGCTGTCAGTGGTAGTAGCAATGACAATGGCAACAACTCAGACTGGCTAAGAAAAGCTTTGTCATAGGTGAAGTGGACATGGACAGTGCTCTGGTCCCAGGATCAGCTTTACCACCTATCAGCTCCACCACACTGGGCAGATTATATAAGTTTATCTGTACAATGCACCTGCCTTACAAAGCTTGGAAAAAGAATAAGTAAGATCTTAGGAGGCATGCTTGCCAGTGCCTGGGATGGATTGTGCATACAGTGTATAGCGTACTGCTCTTCAGCTGTGGTGTTTGCTTCCTCAGGTGAGTGTAAATGGACAGCACTTTCTTCACTACCGCTACCGGCTCCCACTGTCACGGGTAGATACACTGGCTATATCTGGTGACATCTTGGTAAAGGCTGTTGGATTCCTGAACGTAAATGTAAGTTCCCTTGGAGGGAAAACTGGGTCAGCAGTGTCCTCTGACAGCCCCTGGTCTTCGCAGGTCTGGGGCTCAGTCACTTACCCTAGATAGAGATGTAGGAAGGTCCTGTATACCTGGAATAAACAAGAGAAAGAAATGCAAAAGCATGTCAGAAGTGAGTGGGATGAGGAAGAAGAGAAGGTGACCACAGTAAGGAGCCCAGGAGCCATGGACAGGAATCTTTCCTGGTGGCAGAGTCTGCTGGGCACTGGGGGGCAAAGGACTTGGCACATCACTGCCTATGCAAGCTGCACTTTGATAGATGAATCTTATCAATCTGATTAACTTATTCAAAATACAGCTAAATACGAGGGTCAGAGGTAGCGCAATGCCCTGGCGAACACAGGGCCTCGGTCCAATCCCCAGTACTGCAAGTACAGTCCTGGATTGACTCAGTGAACTTGAGCTGGGGTCAAGAGTAGGAATGTTCAACACAGCAGCTTTAAAAGGTTGTGTGGGAAGCAGTCAGGGGCTTGCAGCGGTTCCAAAGCTGGCAGCTCACTTTCTTTCTTTTTTTCTTTATCTTTATGTTATGTGTATGAGTGGTTTTGCCTGTGTGTATATATGTGCACCATGTGTGTGTGTCTGGTGTTCATGGAAGCCAGAGGAAGGCATCCAATTCACTGAAACTGTGGGTGCTGAGAACCAAACCTGGGTCCTTTAGAGGAGCAACCACTGAAACATCTCTCCAGATCTTTTTCTTTCTTTCTTTCTTAACAGCCATTTGTGGAGGGTAGCCGAGAGTATCCAGTTGGATATGTGAGTTTCTTTCTTTGATTTTTTTTATTACATTTATTTATTTATTTATTTATTTATTTTGTGTATGTAAATGCATAGTGTGTCTGTGTGTGCACAGTGGGGGAAGCATGCACGTCTGGAGGTCAGAGAACAATCTGCAGGAGTTTCCTTCCACTGTGTGAGTCTAGGGTTGGACTCAGTCATCAAGTTTGATGGCTCCTTAGCCCAGATATCTGAATCTCTTGGGAGCAAGGCTGGACACATAGAAGCCAGCTGGCCCTCTCTCCTTCCCGCATATGCTTGCACAAGGCTCAGCTGACCCCTCCCTCACTGCCGCAGTTGCCAGGAATATGCTTTGGCTCCCTTGAGCCACATGAGGAGCCTGGCTTTGCCTTTCCCCTCCTATCTCCAAGGCATGCTTGGGAAGACGGGTGGAGGTAACTGACTACCCGGAAGGACCCATGGTTCCCACTGGGAGATCATGTCTGCTGAGCTTTAGGTCCTCAGATCAACCCTGCAGGATGGCTATGGTTGATGCCACAGGACAACACGGGAAGCTGAGGCCCATGACCTTGCTGGAGGTATAGGATGACAGCACCACTGTCCTCCATCTCCTCCCTACTACTCTGAGATGAGGGATATCTTAGGACTCAAAGAATCCCCCACTGGGAGCCCAATGCTCACCTACTGCTGGGAGAGGCACAAACTCCTTATGTTCCCCAGATGCAGGCAAAGTAGCAAGACCTTTCCTTTTCCCAGGCAAACACCAACACCCTCCCCTGCTTCTTTCTCTCCTGCAGCCCTTCCTGCTGTATAGCCCCAGGCTGGTAAGTAACCCTCGATCCAGGTCTCTCCTGAAGGTCAAGTTCTATCTCACTTCCATTTCCCTTCCTTTGTGGAAAACTGCAGCAGTGGGAGGAAGAAGCCGCTCCTGGCTGAACTACAGTTTCATCTCACCCTCTTCACTTGCCACTCCATGACTGCCCAGTACCAATCATCAGGCTAGGGAAACCATGCAGCCCCAGACCTATTGCTCATAGGTGTCAGGATGACAAACCATGTATACCTGCTACATACAGTTTAGACCACTTTTGTGGAATAAGGCCTAAGGAACGGTGAACAGCCTGGAGGGGCCTGAAGATGCTCTCAGCAGGCCTATAGCTTGTGCTTAATACATGGGCAGGGCTGAGTCTCCTGGCTGCAAGCCTACAGAGAACTCACCTGGTGTACCTAGGTCCCTGGGGGTATCCTGCTGATGAGGGACCCTGACACCCTAATAGTCACCATCTCAGTCCTCTCCTATTTCTGTCAGGAGGTGCCCTGCTCACGAGCTCTTCCTCGGGGTCTCTGGCCTGGGCAAGTCATTGTAGTTCGAGGACTGGTCTTGAAAGAGCCAAAAGAGTAAGTATTTAATTAAAGGGGGGGCAGTCCCACCATTTACCCACTCTTGCAGCAGAGCAAAGAGAAGTAAGTTAGCCCAGGTTGCAGAGCTTATGAATAGGGTTGGGGTCGGGCACAGCAGCCCCTGTGGCAGAGCTGCTTTCCTGTCAGGTAAATTAGCTTCACATCACAAGTCCTAGAAAAGAGCTTTTACAGCTAAGACCCAAAAAGGTAATCATGGCCTCCTACTCTGTCACAGTGCTAGGTTCAGTAAACAGCCAAGCTATCTAGAAAAGAGGTGTTTGGGCACCAGCATCTCGCTTCTCCTCCAGTGGTCACTCAAACAAAGACCTGCAGCTTAAATCTGTTTAGACTAGATGCTCCAGTGTTCCCTAATATCACACCCACACAGGTAATTAAAAAGACATAGATGCTATGTCCTGTAATAATACTGTCTAAGCAGAGTACCGTCTTCATATTCATTTACTGCACACTTTACCTGTTCTTTCATTTCATTCTAGCAGCCCCATGAGATGAGAACAGCACTCATCCTCCCTAATTTACAGTTGAGGAAGCACACAGAGATTCAGTGACTTGCCCAAGTCCATGGGACTAGAAAGCCACAGAGCACAAGCCCCTGCAGCCTGACCCTTACCACTAGCTCTTTGCAAAAGCCACAATCTGACACATACCAATAAATGTTAACTGCTGCCATGGTCACAGCCATTTCCATTTCCAGGGGAATAAACTGAGGCTTAGGGTAGGCAATTATTCCACCTGCATATAGTCATGGATCCAAGTATGATAGTCAGGTGCTGTCTATACCTCTACACTGTTATATGTCTAAGTGTTCTGCCCAGAGCCTGACAAACAACCTTAATTGTTAGAAGTTAGCCAGTCTTAACAGTGGCTCTCCTGCCTCAACCCTTTCGCTTCAGAGATACAATGGCCTGAAAGTGACAGAGGCTGATCCACCTCTCTGCCTGCTTCCTGTAGTTTCACCCTGAGCCTGAGAGATGGGGCCACCCATGTTCCTGTGACACTCAGGGCTTCCTTCACAGACAGAACACTGGCCTGGGTCTCCTCCTGGGGCCGAAAGAAGCTGATCTCAGCCCCTTTCCTCTTTCACCCCCAGCGATTCTTCGAGGTAAGTCTGAGCTGAGTACTCACAGCTCTCCTTGAGCCCATTTCCGTAATGATCTGGGAGACTATGGGCTGGATTCTGGGAAGAGTGAGCAGGCCAATACTCTGGGGCTAGGAAATTAGAACCAGCTCTGCAGAGATAATGTTCTGATACTGGCCTTCAGTCCTCTATGCTCATGCCAGAGATCCTGTGCCCAGAAACACAGGCATAATGAATGCAGGTGAGGCATTGTCTGTATATGCTCTCCTAAGTTTCTAAAGGCCGGGAGTGATGTACACCATTACTATGTACACCTATAATCTAGCCCTTGGAAAATAGAGGCAGAAGGATCAGGAGTTCAAGGCTAGTCTCAGCTATATAGGAAGCTTGAGGCCAGCCTGAGCTACATGAGACCCAGTCTCAAGCTCTCTTTATGGCTCTAGTATGTACCTATGGTTGAGACTATTTCCAGGTGGAAAGCAATGTTGCAGATGGTGAACTTTAACTCCTAGACCTGTCTGTTTCTGATAATCATGTCCCCTCAGTGAAGGAGGAACCCTACAGTAGTACACCAGGAAAGGTCTGTCTGGAAGCCAATCAAGCTATTCTTCCCAGGTACTGCTTCTGTGCCAAGAGGGAGGGCTGAAGCTGGCACTCAATGGGCAGGGGCTGGGGGCCACCAGCCTGGACCAGAAAGCCCTGGAGCAGCTTCGGGAGCTCAGGATCAGTGGAAGTGTCCATCTCTACTGTGTCCACTACTAAAAAGGCTCCGAGGACACCCCAGCCAGAGAAGAGAAAAGGTGGCTGCAACCAGGGCTCCATGGTTATAGCCCCACTCTGCTGTTCTCATGGGAGAAATTGCCCTGGCATCACTGTGTCAGGCCTAGTTCACATCTGGGTCACAAGCCTGAATCTAAAAGGACACGGGCACACACAGACACACTGCATTTTAATTTATCAATTCTGAAAATAAGGGCCCAGGTCAATGTGTCACTGCACCCATCTTCCACATTCAAATTCTATTGTGGTCTTCATTCCAAATATTCCATGGGGACATGGGCTGAAACCCTATCTGGGCCCAGCCTCTAAGAAGGCAAATAGAGTGCGAACAAGAGGAGCCCCAAATCTGTGATCAGCACACGCCATCTACACTCACCTTTCATCTACACTCCTTTTATCCACAGTCACTCACTAGTTTGTGAAGCCTTTGCCCAACATGAGCAAATATCACAGCTGCTCTCACGGCTTTGGCCAAAAGGAACCAGCCACATCCCAGAAATCACACTGATGATGGGTCCACATTTTGGCCACCCAACCATGTAAACACCAATAATCTCTCATAAGATTATAATATAGTCTGGGTGGGCCAGAGATTATTCAGTCTATGTTTCTATAATATACCCTGCAATGTCCACACAATGGCAAAATGGTTGAATAATGCATTTCTCAGAATTTGTCCTTGTCATGAAGTAATACATGACTATCCAGCAGAGTTGGTAGACCAGGAAAAAAACAGAATCTGTAGAGTGTTTGAATGGGACTACTCCTGGAAATAAAGTCTGGGTTCTCCTTCGAATGGTCTTAAGACTCTGTCTCTTGGGAATGCCTCTGTAATCCCATCTACCTGCCCAGTGCTGTGGCATGTCACGGGTAGACGCTGATGATGAAGGATTTGCTGTGTTATGTTACACTCTAAGCAGAGAGCCGTCTCCTTCCCTTGTCCATTTGCCAAGAGTAATCATGCACCTTTCATGAAGGAAGAAACCTCAAACATGCAAGAGGAAAGCTTTTACTGCAAATATATGTCTTAATTGTAATCCAGAGAAACTAGAAGTCAGAAAAACAGATGGCTGAGAGGCAACCCCTAGACACCAAGGCCCAGGATTCTAGGAAGAATCTGGGTCGAAGAGGAGGTGTCAGGTTGGTGGGTTGAGGTTACTTATTTAACCTTCTAATGAAATAAGCTATATTGAGAGAACTCTAATATACTATCTTAAAACTTCTGGAGTAAAATTTACTTGGTGTTGATGAGTCTTAATAAAAAATACATTGTACATTTTATCCACTGATATTATGTATTTTGTATTATGTCCATAAATTAAATTGGCTTGTCATTTTACTTATAGGTGTTAGTGGCTATTCTGTTGTTGTGATAAATACTGTGACCAAGGCAGCTTAGAGAACAAAGGTTTATCTAGGTTTATAGTTCCAGAGGTGAGCCTCATGCAAGGAAATAGAAAACAAGATGAGCGCTCACACCTTGAACTGTGCAAGGGGAAAGCAGGGAGAGCAAACTCAAATAGCAGGAGCCTTTACATCCTCAAAGCTGTTCCCCAGTGACACACTTCCCCCAACAAGGCCACATCTCCTAAGGCCCCCAAACAGCACCACCCACAGGGGACCAAGTACTCAAACATCTGAACTATGGGTGATAGTCTCGTTCAAGCCACCAAATCTTGCACAAGTTAGACTTTTCATGGCTTTGACAATTTACCATAATTGTGTTTGTTTGTTTTTTTAAAGACAGGGTTTTTCTGTGAAGCCTGTCTGTTTCTGTAGTATCCTGTTCCCTGGCTTTCTGGAACTCACTCTGTAGAGAGGCTGGCCTCAAACTCACGGAGATCTGCCTGCCCCTACTTCCGAAGTGCTGAGATTAAAGGTGTGTACTACCAGTGCCCAGTGTTTCTATGACAAGTTAAACAGTTTAAGGAGAGAAGAATTTATGTTGCTCACAGTGTTAGTGCTTAACAATCATCATGGTAGAGAGCACATGGGATAGCTGTTCACATTGTGACAGCCAGGAAGCTCGGGTGTGCAGGGTACCCACATAAGCGCTCTCTCTCTCTCTCTCTCTCTCCCTCTCTCTCTTTCTCTTTCTCCTGTTTTTTGGTTTTTGGTTTTTTTTTCCTCTGTAGCTTTCAGCCGATCAGACAGTGGTGCCTACATTCAGGTCAGGTCTTCCCCACTTAGTAAATCCTCACAGACACATAGGGAAGCATGCTTTAGTCATCTTCCAGATATATCCTGACAGAGCATGGAGGAAGCAGAAAGTGAAATGCTCAAAAGTTGGCACAAAAGAACAGCAGCTGACAGATACTACTTTGCCTTCCAGATGGAGGCATTAAATCATCGGAAATGTTCCATGATAGCATCTACAGTACACGTACACAGACAGCTCCTTCTATAAATGCCTTCTGGCATACCTAACTCCAGAGTTTATCTTTAGAAGACATTCATAGAAAACTGCATTTGCTGTGGAAAAGTTTGTTTTTGCTGCTGGACTAGTCTTTGCAGAGTCACCCTGTCTGGTACAGCAGAGGTACTTGGGACTTGCACGTGGTAATGAGCTATGGGTTACTCAGACTCAGCTAAGGGAGGAACCCTGCTAACCCTGCTAGCTAGAGTTCTATGCCTGCTCAGCTCTGTAATCCTGTTTGTCTCCTATTTCCTCCAGCACATTTGTGCTCCAGTAAAAGTGCACAGTAGCCAGACATAGTGGTGCCCACCTTTAATCCCAGAACCCCAGAATTCAGGAGGCAGAGGCAGATGAATTTCTGTGTGTTTGAAGCCAACCTGGTCTACATAGTCAGTTTCCAGAACAATAATGGAGAGAGAGAGAGAGAGAGAGAGAGAGAGAGAGAGAGAGAGAGAGAG